GTTCTGCCTACATAATAAATTTTTATTGCTAATTTCCCAATGATTCCGAGGAGTGAGTTGTCGCTCAATAGCATTAAGAACAATAAAACTAGCCCTCCTTTAATCTCAAGTAAAAAGATGTGCTCTAGAGATGGACTTTTGAAATGGTAGAGTGAAGACTTTGGTGAACTTGCCGCCCTACCCCCAAAAAAACAGTGAAAAACAATTTGGACTAGCAGAAGAAAGGATAAGTGAATGTGAAGATAGATCAATAGAAATTATGCAATTTGAGGTACAAGAAGAAAAAATAAAAATGAAGAGCTTCAGAGAACTGTAGGACATCATCAATAATACCAACATACAGATACTGTAAGTTTCAGGAAGAAGACAAAGAGGCAGAAAAATATTTGATGAAATAATGGTTACAAAAACCTCAAATTAGATGAAAATTATTTATATAATGAATTTCCCCCCCTAACTTTTTAAATATGTTTTAAAAACTGATTTTATAGAGAGAGTAAGGAAGTGGGATAGACAGAAACACTGATGAGAGAGAAACATCCATTGGCTATTTCCTGCATATCCTCACTGGGGATCAAGCCTGCAACCTGGGCATATGCCCTGATTGGGAACTGAACCAGCGACATCTTGGTGCATGGGTTGATGCTTAACTACTGAGATATACCAGTCAGGCCACAATGAATTTTTTTTTTTAAAAAATATATTTTATTGATTTTTGTACAGAGAGGAAGGGTGAGAGATAGAGAGTTAGAAACATCAATGAGAGAGAGTCATCAATCAGCTGCCTCTTGCACACCCCCTACTGGGGATATGCCCACAACCAAGGTACATGCCCTTGACCGGAATCGAACCTGGGGCCCTTCAGTCCCCAAGCCGACGCTCTATCCATTGAGCCAAACCAGTCCCGGCCACAATGAATTCTTAATTGAAGCTAAATTAACTCCAAATAGAATAACATCAAAGAGATCCACATCTAGATGGATCATAATCAATTCAGAAAAGTCAAAGACAGACAATGTTCAAAGTAGCAAGAGAAAAATAACTTCTCATATACAAGAGATTCTAAGTAAAATTAACAACTGACTTTAATCAGAAAACCATGGATGTCAACCCAGCCAATGTGGCTCAGTGGTTGAGGCACATGCCTGGGTTGTGGGTTTGATCTCCAGTAGGGAGTATACAGGAGGAGGCAGCTGATCAATGATTCTCTCTCATCATTGATGTTTCTCTCTCTCTCCTTTCCTCTCTCTGAAATCAATAAAAATATATATTTTTAAAAAACATGGACACCAGAAGACCAGTGGGATGACATCTTCAAAGTGTTAAAGGAAAAAGGCTGTTAGCCAACAGTTTTATATCCAACTAAACTTTTCTTTAAAAAATGAAGGAGATTCAAGACATTTCCAGAAAAAAAAAAAAACCAGAAAAAACACTAAGAGAATTCATCACTAACAGACTTGCCATACAAGAAATACTAAAGGGAATCCTTCAGGCTGAAATGAAAGGACATTATATGTAACTCGAATTTATAGGGAGAACAAAAAACATGGGGAAAGGTAAATAACTACATAAGTAAATATAAAAAAGAGTATACATGTATTTTTTATAATTATTGTTTTACAAGAGAACTACATAAAGCAATAATTTATTGGTGGGCATATAATGTATAAAGAACTAATATGTCTGACAGTAATCCCACAAAAGAGTGGGATGGCAATGGAGGTATATTGGAAGAAAATTTTTAACATTACTGATTTTAAGTTGGTATTCAACCAAACTAGATTGTTTTAAGATGCTAACTGCAATCCCTAGGGCAACTATTAAGAATATAAAGAAAAAACTATAAAGAAACATGGCAATTAAAATAAAATGGTACTGCAGAAAATACCTATTTATTATAAAAGGCAGTAATGGAGGAGGAGTTAAGGAATAAAAAATAGACATATAGAAAATGGCAAAATGGAAGATGCAAATCCTACCCTATCCATAATTATATTACATAAAAGTTTATTAAATATTCCAGTCAAGGCTTGTCTCAGTTTCGATTCTTACAAGGATATTTCTTGGATCACATGATCTTACATATCTAGAGGAAATAATGAACAACATAAACTGATGAACAAAAACAGACCCAGAGAAAGAGAAGCAGCGATTAGACTCTCAAACCTCAGAGGGAAAGTAGGGGAGGTGGAGGTAAGGGGAAGATATCAACCAAAGGACTTGTGTGCATGCATATGGGCCTAGCCAGTGGCCATGGACAACAGGGGGATGGGGAAATATGTAGGGAGGGGGTTGGGATGGGAATGGGGGGATGAGGACAATTATGAATTTGAAATAAAAAATTTAATTTCAAAAATAAAAATATTCCAGTCAAAAGACAAATCTTATTAAAATTGATTTTTTAAAAACTATGATCCAACCACATGCTGTTTACAAGTAACACAATTAGATTCAAAGAAACAGATTTAAAGTAAAAGAATAAATAGATATATCATGCAAACAGTAGCCAAAGGAGAATTGAATGGCCATATTAATATCAGACAAAATAAACACAGAACCTCTTGCTAAAGTCATAATGATAAAAGCAACTCATAAGGAAGATTTAACAATTATAAATATATATAGCTAACAATACAGCCCTAGAAATACATAAAGCAAAAACTAATAGAACTGAAGGTAGAAATAGATGAGTTAACAACAATTAGAGACTTCAATATCTCATTTTCAATAATGGATAGAACTAAACAGAAGATCAACAGGGAAATAGACGACTTGAATCCTATCTGATAGAGAATATGCTAATTGACTCACACCTTCACAAATATGGCGGTGCCCACAGCCACAAGATTGCAACACCTAGTCTCCTCAGTCCCCTCAGACCCCCCAGTCGCCCAGGACTGGCCATAGGCGCAGGCAAGCCTCAGATGGGGAAAGGTAAATAACTACATAAGTGGCTCAGTGGCTGAGGCTCAGGTAACCAGGGGCTTGTGCTGCTGGCAGTGGCAGCAACAGAAGTGTGATGGGGGCATTGCCTTCCCAATTGCTGGGTCGCCTCCTGCCTCTGAGGGCTCCCTGACTGTGAGAGGGGACAGGCCAGGCTGAGGGACCCCCCTCCAGTGCATAAATTTTGATGCCATGGGCCTCTAGAAGCATTATAAACAAGAGCTAACATTTCTACAGGATACTCCACCAACAGAATACACATTCTTCTGAAGCACACATGAAACGTGCCAGGAAAGACTACTCTGCCATGAAACAAGCCTCTAAATTCAAAAGAAATGAAAATATTCCAATTATATTTATTATCCAACCACAATGGAATAAAATTAGAAGTCAATAACAAATGTGGGAGCCACAAATCTGTAGAAATTAAACACATCCCAAAGTAACTAATGAGTCAAAAAGAAATCACAAGGAAAACTAGAAAAATATTTTGAGATGAATAAAAACAAAAAACACAACATATCAAAACTATGGGCAATGAATGTTAACACAAAAATTTGTACATGAATGTTCTTAATAACTCTAATCACAATAGCCAAAAAGTAGAAACCATCCTACTGTCTATCAAGTGATTAATGGATAAACCAATGGAGTATTATTCAGCCATTAAAAAGGTATATGCTGATACATGCTACAATATTGATTAACCTTGAAAATATGCTAAATGAGAATATGCTAATAAACCAGACATAGAAGCTTACATCCTATCTAATAAAAGTGTAATATGCAAATTAACCATCACAAAGATGGCAATGCCCATTGCCACAGATGGCAGTGCCTAGTCCTCTCAGCCCTGCCAGAGTCCCCAGTCCCAGGGCGGGGCGGCCACTGAGAGCCTGCAGTGTGAGCGACCTGGCAGAGTGCTTGCTTTGTTGCCATGGCAACGAGGCAAGTGTTCCACCGTAGGCGTGGAGGGCCTCTGAGCAGCAGGCACTGGGCAGCTAGGAGGTGGGGGGGTGGGGAATGCTTGCATCATCAACCCAACAATGAGGCAAGCATTCCTCAACCAGCTACAAATGGGCCACTGGCCAGGCCAGGCGAAGAACGCTTGCCTGACTGCCTTGGCCATGAAGCAAGCGTTTCTGCCTGCCGTGGATGAGCTCTGGGTGGAGGAGAGCCTCTGGGCCATGGAGACCCTCTGGACAGCGGGCGTGGAGTAGCCAGGCCCCTGCAGAGAGCTATTGACACAAGGATTCGTGTGCAGGGCTACTAATATTATATGATTCCATTTATATGAAATTCTCAGAACAGGCAAATCCATAGTCAACGATGATTAGTAGTTATTAGGGGCAGTATAGGTGGTGGAATAGAATGTTACTGTCAATGACCAGGGAGGTTCCATTTGGAATGCTGAAAAAGTTCTGGAACTAGCTATAGTACACTTTATTTTTTATTTATTTATTTAAAAAATAGATTTTGATTTTTTACAGAGAGAAAAGGAGAGGGATATAGAATTAGAAACATCAATGGGAGAGAAACATTGATCAGTTGCCTCCTACACATTCCCTACTGGGTATGTGCCCTTGACTGGAGTTGAACCTGGGACCCTTCAGTCCGTAAGCCGATGCTCTATCCACCGAGCCAAACCAGTTAGGGCTAGATACAGTACACTTTAAAACAATTTAAATGGTAAATGTTAATTATATTTTTTGTTTTGTTAATTTTCACCCAAGGTTATTTTTTTTCCATTGATTTTTTGGGAGAGGGAGAAAGAAGAGAGAGGGAAAGCCCTGAGCAGGGACAAAACTGGGGAGGAGACTGCAACCAAGGTACATGCCCTTGACTGAATCAACCCGGGACTCTGGTCTGCAGGCCGATACTCCATCCACTGAGACAAACCAGCTAGGGGTGTTAGTGTATTTTATCACAGTTTTAAAAAGTGAAAAGTACTATTGTGGGGAAAGAAAATAAGGTTAAAAAACAGACACTCAGATCTGAGAGAGAGCCATAATTTCAGCAAAATATAAAAACTCCCAATACATAATTATGTTCCATACTTGTATGTGAGGCCAAGAAGCCTCAAGTGTGGGTTCATCCTCCTCTGGATCAAAATCTGGATTATCACTTGGAGGAAGAGTACGGAAGATATTAGCACTGATCTGTAAAAAAAAAAAAAAAAAAAAAAAAAATTAGATTTATGTTCTTTGTTATATAATTAAATTCAACAATGCAAAATTAAATATTCTTAAGATAACTTTATTTTTTAAAAAGTTAAGTTGTGGCTATAAGGTTAGTTCAAAAACCTAGAAACCATTTCAAAATATGAAGGCAGGCATGTTTTTCTCTTTTCTCTATCCTATAACTCTGAACTTCTTCAGATGCCAACCTTGTGAAGATTACAGATTACCTCTGGATTCCTACCTTAGATTACAAATTGTTCTTTCCAAGTTTTGTGTTTAAAAAGTTGGGCAGGGGAGGGAAGTTTGGGGGGAATGCATAAAGTTTTTAACTCTACCTATCCTTAACTTGATTTTCTTCACCTTTCCCCAACTTCCCATATTCTAACCCAGCCATTTACTTATCCTATAACACAAAGAGTTTGATAAAATATTCCCATATATATCTCACTAAAAAAGAGAGAGGTGATAGAATGTCTTCACTACTATTATAGACAGTTTATAATACCTCATGATGATTTAATTTACTATATTTCATCTACTCTCAGTCCTTTTAAAAAATTAATCTCTGAAATCAGAATGTAATTAGAGTTTTTATTTCACATCAATAAAATACAGTACTATTTATAATTTCATCTTTCACATTGTTTGTCTCAGTACAGACAATAAACTATATATCCTTTTTCTCTAGCAAAGGATAGATTGTGGTTCCAACTCATAATTTTTTGAAGAATGATGAACAGACTAACAGACCAAATGGTTAGTCAATATTTAAGGCCATAGTATTGAGGGGTTGTTCATTTGAGATAAACTACTTGGGAATAAAGAATAAAACAAGTATTTGGTGGTATAAGCAAATTTCCAACCATCTTATGAAGTGGCATCTATGGTAAGCCAAAAAAAACTGCTAACAGTCAATTAAAATAATGATAGACTTAGAAAAAGACACACACACAAACACACCCTACACACACTTTTTTACATGGGGAAAAACATTAATCCCAAAATTTATTAGTCTATAACAATTATTGATGGGAATATTGCTTTTCTCCCTGAACATTTTTTAAACAACAAACACAAAATAAAAAACAAAACAAAATAAGAGGTCTATCAACATTTACTATTTATGTTTCTAAACTATTACTTTTTACTGTCTTTGGAAGTTTAGAAAGCCAATTTCATTTTAATTAATGTTCTCTTTTATAGTTAATCTTTTTTTTAAAATGTAAAGCTTTTATTCATTTAAAAAAAACCACAAATCCACCAAAATGTCCTAAGTCCTTTTATTTTTTTTTTTAAATATTATTTATTGATTTTGTACAGTGAGGAAGGGAGAGAGATAGAGAGTTAGAAACATCGATGAGAGAGAGTCATTGATCAGCTGCCTCTTGCACACCCCCTACTGGGGGTATGCCCGCAACCAAGGTACATGCCCTTGACCGGAATCGAACCCGGGACCTTTCAGTCCCCAAGCCGATGCTCTATCCATTGAGCCAAACCGGTTTGGGCCCTATGTCCTTTTAACTGGTCTTAGTACAATGTGATAAAGAAAACCAATTAGTATATCAGGATAAGATTTAACTTTCCTACACATTTTGCTCTTTCTCCAGAACATATATTATGAAAGGGAAAGGAAATAAAGGCAACTATAGGTTATACTTGCTATATACAAACTTCTATACTCTGGAGATATTTAAGCTTAAATTATGTACTCAGTGACTCTCTAATTATTCCAACTGATTTTTTTGTATTTTGTTAGTATGCATACAAAAGTCACAAATTCTAAACAAATGTCTACTGTCTGAAGGAGAATAAGGTTGGATTATCAATAAATAGTACCCTAAGCAATCTTGCTTTAACAAAGTTGGCAGTATTTTTTCACACCAGATATTTCAAACATTTATATTTTTTAACTTCTTATCCTGAGTTTTGATTAAAATTCGTGTTATAGAATCTACAAATATTGTATTAAAAAATGTCCTAAGTAAGAATTTTTTAGGCCTGACTCCTTTATTTACCATTGAAATGTGGAGAGCCCCATAGTTTTCCATTGGGCTTTTCTTACCCCTTTAGACTTTCTCTCTCAGTGACTATTAAACCCCATAATATTAATTATCTAACAATCTGTATAATCTTGAGCCTACATCTTTCTCCTAAGCTCTACATCTGCATATCCAGTATGGTATCCACCAGCCATTGTGGCTATTGAATTGCCCAACTATTATAAGCAGTATTAGCATTATTGAAATGAATGGATAATCTTTCAAATGGACTATCTATTAAGTCAATTACTGTACACTTAAATAAGACTTATTAATTCATATTTACACCTCAGATCTTACTTGAACTTATATAAATCTGAGGAACATAAGTCTAGAGGCTTACCATTTTTACTATATCAGAATACGCTGATTCAACAATTACACCACGATTAGTTGAAACATACTCAACCAGTTCATTCAGTGTTGCTCTTTTAATTTCTTTGCTCTTCAAGTCTGAAACTGAGTCCATGAAATCAAACAGTACACAACACTGTTGCAACTTCTGACAGAAGAGTTCTTGTTGTTCATTTGAAGTGGCATCTATAAATAAAAATACAGAAAAACTTAGAAATAACCTACTCAGAAGTTACCTTATATGCTTATTCATTTTGTAGAAACTAGACACATACATAAAACTTTTTTCAAAAATCTAGTGAGAAATTTACCCATCTAATCCCAACATTCATGCCAGAAAATGGGATTTATACTGGACTCTTCCTTCATGCTCACTACACACAATCAAGCATTAAATGCTATTGATTCTATATCTATTATATATCTGGAACCTATCCTTTTCTTTTGAAATTATCCTGTTTTCTTTGATTACAAAATCTGCCATTATTAACTGGTATGCCTAGTATGAAAAGTTGGAAACATATCTGATGCTTACACTCCAGATATGAAGTGGTAGATTTAAATGGATTAAATGAGATAATGATCTTGAAGGTGAGTGCATCATATATTTCAAAGTAGAATACAAATGGAAGAGCATTTTTCTCTTATACCACGCTTTAGCTACATCACATGCTAGATAACATGTTAGAAGACACAAAATGATTTCCAGTCAGGACTGACAAATAGGGCAATTGGGAGGGACCAGGCCTGCAAGAGAGGGCAGTTGGGGGCAATCAAGCCTGCAGGGGAGGGCAGTTAGGGCAGGGGAGGGCAGTTAGGGGCGACCAAGCTGGCAGGGGAGGGCAGTTAGGGGCGACCATGCTGGCAGGGAAGGACAGTTAGGGGCAATTGAGGGGAACAGTTAAGCATTGATTAGGCTGGCAGGGGAGTGATTAGGGGATGATCATCCCGGCAGGCAGAAGTGATTAGGGCAATCAGGCAGGCACACAGGCTAGTGGTTGGGAGCCAGCAGTCCTGTATTGTGAGAGGGATGTCAGACTGCCCCTTTAGGCCAGTCCCCATTTAGGGATGGGCCTAAAGGGCAGTCTGACAGCCCTTGAGGAGTCTCAGATTGGAGAGGGTGCAGGCTGGGTTGAGGGACACACACACACACACACACACACACACACACACCCATGCATGAATTTCATGCACCGAGCCTCTAGCAGGATAATAAAAGACTAATATGCTAAGGGTTCAGTCATCCCGTCAGCCGTTCAACCAATCAAAGCATAATATGCTAATGATATGCTAAGGCAGATCAACCGCTTGCTTTGATGTACACTGACCACCAGGGGGCAGACAGTCAAATGGTCAACCAGTTGCTATATAACATGCACTGACCACCAGAAGGAAGATGCTCTGACCAGTAAGTGAGTCTGCTGCTTGGGTCCAGCCAATCAGGATTGAGTGAGACAGGCAGGACACATCCTGGAACCCTCCTGCAGTCCCTCCCCAACCCTGATCATGCACCAATGGGGTCTCTCAGCCTGCCCTGCGACCTCTTACAATCTGGGACCCCTCAGGGGATGTTGGAGAGCCGGTTTCAACCTGATCCTGCAGGCCAGGCTGAGGGACCCCACTAGTACACGAATTTGTGCACTGGGCCTCTGGTGTTACATAATGACTTGAAATACCAATTTACATTAATTTTTTCAATAACATCACAGCTAAAGATTTACTAAAAGTGCTCTTATAAAAATTCTAAAGGCCTGATGCACGAAAATTCGTGCAAGAGTAGGCCTTCCTTCCCCCAGCCGCTGGCACCAGCTTCCTTCTAGCACTCAGGACCCAGTCTTCGCTCAGGATGCTGCTGGCAGGCACCTAGGACCTGGTTGCTTCCCTCTGGGTGCCACCATTAGGCACCCAGGATCCAGGCTTTGCTCCATCTCTGGCTTCATCCAGAAGGATGTTTGGAATGACGTTTGGTATAATTAGCATATTACCTTTTTATTATTATAGATAACCAAACCCCCAATATAAAAAGCTCAGCATAAAAATTACGAAAGATACAAGGAAACTACAAAATCAAGGAATGATTTAAAAAAGAAAGTGTGCCTTGCTTTGCAAAATAGTTTAAGTCTGACTAGAATATGAGTATTTTTACATACATCTTAATTGTCTTCCACTTCATTATGACTGAAATTTGATCCCACTAAAAAATTCTTACCACTGTACAAATCCTTGAGTAGTCCTAGGCAAAGCGAAGGAAGAATCAAGACAACTATGGAAATAAGGCATTTCATCTTTGGAGAATTATTAACACAACTTCTAAACTCACAAAAGCCCTGCTAGGTGATCCAAATCTCTAAATTATTGTGTGTTTTTTTCAATTCCAAACTTGAAGATATAGCTGCTTACAGGGAACTCATACAATTTAACAAAATACTGCTCTAAAGAACTATATTACAAAGTGTGGGTTGCAACCCACTGGTTGGTAGTAAGATCGTTTTACTGGGTCACAAGCAGAAATTTTAAAAACTATATAAAATATCAGCATGTTGCACATAAGTGTATTATTTCACAAAACTGTATATGAGTATTGAGTTGTAAAATTAAATGTTTCTTACTATAGCTTGAAGTAAAAAAAAACATTGAAAGTGCTATATAATATGTAAAGTACTATACTAGTAAGATACCATATTACATAGCATGCTGCCCAAAATCATAAACCAAATCTGCAATGCACCTGAGATTCAAATCACCTAGAATGCAATAAAAAGTATGACTATACTTACTGTCTTTGAAATATCAATTGTTCCTTTAGTAGCTATATTTTAAATATTTGCCCACTTAGAAATTCACAATGCATATGACTTTAAAATGTCAAATTTATCTCCTCCCCTTTACTCAAAATAAAAGTAAACAAAAATATATAAACCCATAACAACAAAGAGAATAGAAGAATGGGCCCTTAGGCAACAGACTTCAACAAATTCCTGGAAAACTCAAAATACATGATGTGGTAAGTAACAAAACCAAAACAGAGAAAGTCACATCTTAGAATAAACAGAGGATTGCAGACAAGGTTCCTATAGAACTCCAGATTAGAAAAGCCTGGTGAAATAGAGGTTGGTATTAAAACATACTGAAAATAGGGGAATTATATAAATCTATATGCTAAACATTCTGCTACTTCACTCCAAAAGACAGTCATGCACTCATACTCTAGGCAAATATTAGTAAAAGAAAGAAAAAGGTTTTTGAAGAAAATGTATAGTTCCAGAGAGTCATACATTCTAGCTTTTACCTAATTCCCTGCCCAATTATTCTAAGAAAAGCAGCTAATATACCCCATCCAACTTCTAAAGAAACTTTTTGTTCACTCATACATATTAATAGAAAATAAAGATTGCCAGATACTCAAAGAAAGCCTATATAAAAAGTCTATATAAGAAAGAAAACCAAATAAACAGGGAGGAAAGACCCAAATTGAAGGGATAATTTAACATATCACTGTGAAATTTAAGATTTAAAAGAATTACTCACAAAAGAACCAGAGATAAGATTATCCATTAGATTTATCAACAAGAATGATTCCAGAAGACAGTGTGGCTATGCCATTAAAATTCTAATGCCATCTCCAACATTTACAGGGAACTCATACAATTTACCAAAAGGAAGATAAACAACCCAATCAAAAAATGGGCAATAGACCTAAATAGATACTTTTGGAAAGAGGACATAAGAAAGGCAAGAGACATATGAAAACATGCTCAAAAGTCATTAATCATCTGAGAGATGCAAATCAAAAAGACAATGTAATACCATCTCACATCTGTCAGAATGGCTGTCAACAAATCAACAAATGACAAGTGCTGGCGAGGATGCAGAGAAAAAGGAACCCTTGTGCACTGCTGGTGGGAATGGTAGCCACTGCGGAGAACAGTATGCAGTTTACACAAAAAACTATAAATGGAATTCCCATTTGACCCAGTGATCTGACATCTAGGAATATAACCCAAGAAACTAGAAACACCAATCAGAAAGGACATATGCACCCCTATGTTCATAGTAGCACAATTCACCATAGCTAAGATTTGCAAACAACCTAAGTGCCCACCAGCAGATGAGTGGATTAAAAAACTGTGGTACATCTATATAATGGAATACTATGCTGCAGTAAAAAAGAAGGAATTCTTATCATTTGCAACATCATGGATGGAACTGGAGCATTATGCTAAGCAAAATAAGCCAGTCTTCTCCGATCTCAGTCATTTGTGGAATATAATGAACAACATAAACTGATGAACAAAAACAGATCCAGAGATAGAGAAGCATTGAACAGATCATCAAACCTCAGAGGAGAGGTAGGGGAGGGTGAGGGTAAGGGGGAGAGATCAATCAAAGGACATATATGCATGCATATAAGCCTAACCAATGGATACAGATCCGGGAGGGGGGGAAGGGGAGAGCATTAAGTGGGTGGTTGGAGGGGGAATGGGAGGATAAGGACACATATGTAATACCTTAATAAAGAAAATAAAAATTTAAAAAATTCTAATGTCAATAGAGAACTCTGTAACTAGCCAATAACAACTATCAATAAAGCACTAACTGTTCAATGAGGGCATTTTCAGACCTGCACATAAGTAGAAATAAACTTCTTGAAAAATCTGGCAACCTCACAACCTTGCATAGGAATTTATCTGAGGATCTGATACAGCAATAGGGAAATGACAAAGGAATAAGGGAAGCCACCCAGGAAAGCAATAAAGACCTAGAGAGCACCTGGGCCATTTAGAGCAGGAGGAAAAAGGCCACATGCACGTGGTCTCTACATGAAGATGAACAGTGTATCTTATATACAGAGATCTGGAGGGGAACAAATTGAGAGTATATTAAAGGTACAATAAAAGAAAGAGACCCCATTAGAAACTCTAGAAAATCCTTAAAAATCTATGTAGGGAAATGTAACAATCCATGGCTCTGAAGTCTATAGAGTCACACAACATAAATCTTGTTAACTGACTTTTCAACTTTTAGAATTAACATAACTTACATAAAACTTAATTATAGCTATAGAAAATGTTACAAAACTTAAAAATGTAACATAAACATGACTAAAGGGTGAAAGGAGAGGAGGTGAAACTTTAATTCACTTCCAATTAATCCCCCCTTTCATATACTATAACTGCTGATCCTTA